TCTTATTATCTTCTACGAACCACGGAATGATTCCGAGAATTTTTCCAACACTTGAATTAATTGCTGACAGAACGAAGTTAGGCGCCATTTTGGTGTACGAATTTTTCAAAATGTCCACAATTCGATTACACATCGGTATTAAGTATGCAGACAATCCACGAATGAGTATTTATGAAATGCCCAGAACACGGAATCGACACTTGGCTGTGTGTTGATTGTAGTATTTCTCATAATATACGAGGTATGATCAAACAATATGTTCATGAAAATTGAAACTAACATAGGTATGGTATGTATTTTGATTGTATATCAGATATGTTGAGTTCTTATATATGTTCATAAAAAACAGGCTTGGGCTTTCCAGCATAATTTTGCGAATTTTGACATTCACTTATAAATATACATACCAATCCATATTTGGTTATTATCTGAATACCTTCGGTTGATGGTTTGAAAAAAATAATTCAGAGCTTATGATCTGCAGCGAACAAGTCGGGTATTTTTCCATTTTGCTGGGCAACAACTAGAGTCAAATCTGAGCCCAAACATTCCTCAAAAAAGGAAACAAAAGCCTGCCCAACAACTATATTGTCCAATATCCCATGAACGCCAGACCTTCGTTATTTTATAAAAGCTGAACATTTATCAGCGCATGCTCCCAACACAGATATGTCAAGTAACAGGTATAGAATTGAGCTTTTATACTTCAACGAAAGTTATGTTTCAATTCATCAAGATTCAAGGGTGTCTGGCAATGGATGATAGATATGCTTTTTAATATTATTACGATTAAAATTTATAAGAAAAACTTCATAGTATGACGAAAGTAAGTTGGTATTTTCAGCACCTTTGCTCCCTGTATAACCTCCCAAAGGTACCATGACCTAAACTTCATATTTGCCCATCGTTCTTACCTGTGTTGGGAGCATGCGCTGAAAAACTTTGAGCTTTTATAAAATAACGAAGCTCTGGCGTTCATGAGATCTTGCAGGAAGCAACTTCATGTCCAGTACACAGCTTCGTGGATGATAGTACCCTTCATACCGCCTTATCTTCCATCGGTTCTCACGATGTTCTCTGAACATTACAGGATATCCCTTTTCGTGGGAACCAGAATATGAAAAGAATTATAATTGGCCTATTGCAGAAGTGATATAGATAACCATCAATATTGAGCTCATCAAATATCTTGAAAGCTCATCAGGAATCATTAATGATAGACAATATGGATTTCACCACCGAAGATCAACTAGAGATTTTCTTGCCTACGTTGCCCATTTATGACAAGCTGCATTAAAAAAAAAGGGGAATCTCCAGCTGAAACGTTGGATATATCGAATACATTCGACCGTATTTAGCACCAAGGACTCCTCCACAAACTTCCATCATACGGCTTACCACCCCAGTTAGATGCCATCTTTTATCGAGTTTTCTTTCAGGCAGATCGCTTCATCTGGTGGTGGACGGAGTTTCGTCTCCATTGCCATCAATATCGGCATGCCACAATGATCAATTTTGGCACCAACATTGTTCCTACACCATATCACTGATCTGCTAGGAGCAACCATTTGCCCTATCCACAGTTTTGCAGTAACATAATACCGCAGGGCGCCCGAGACAATTATGCACCTGCTGTCTTCTTGCACGATGTATGACCCAGCCTTTATCCATAGACACAATGCGGGTGCTCTACTATCATTTGAGTCACACGTACGGAATAGATGAGATCCCAGTGCTGCCCTATGCTCCGGGGGATATTGAGTCCGTTGTGGAGAATGAGAGGTGCCGAATTTATTGGAATTTCTCATTCACCTCCCTCAGGCAAATACAAGCTAACAAGCCTCCTCGACCAAACCAAAGCGATGTTCGTGATCGAGTTTTCGGCGCCAGCCGAACCGAACATCGTTTTGAAGGAGGAGGAGAAACGGACTGAATATTGAGATCTTCTCTTCGAACTCCGCAGGCTCTATCCAGACCATTCTGTGGAATTGGTCATCCTGATAATCGGCTCCCCAGGAGACACACGACATACTCTTCTCTCCGAAATCCAGAAAATCTCAGTGTGCAGTGATAAGGCACACATCCTAGCTGGTGGAATGCAGAGGGCCGTCATACTCGGATCATTGCGTCTACCCAAGGCACACGGTTCTTGGTCCCAGTGATTATTTGCCTCACAGGCTGTGGGGAGTAGTCACTGGATTTTATCCAGAACGACTCTGCGTGGCGTCGGAGGTCGCAGAGTCGTGACTGGAATAATATAAATTTTAATGGACATAATAATTCTCATTTCACTAGTTGGAAAGTATAATGCAGAAGTCAAAGCAGTTCCAGTGTACAATGACTAGGAAAAATTCACAGGGAGTCAGAAGTTAGAAAGACAGAAAACATATTTTTGTAAATAGGAAAGACAGAAACAAAAAAATGTGCAGTTGTATGAATAAGTATATACATAAAATTAACTATTGTAATATTGTAATTATTGTAATAATGCAGTTCAGCTTGAATTCGTGACGGTGTAACAATGTTTCTCGACAAGGTTTCTTTTCGTCTAACTCATTAATTAGTCTAGGTCCTAGATAGAGATGACTTTTTCGAAAGAGAGAGGTTCGATGTGCATTGGGTAATAATGAATCTTCTGAACGAGTGGAATATTCATGAGCTTATCTTTTAGATGTGAACATAGGTCTGTTTTTGTAAACGTAGATGCAGACTTCGTAGATATATAAACCAGCAACCGTGAGTATTTTGAGCTCTTTGGAAGTACTTTTACAATATTGTTGCCATCACAAACCAGCAATGATGCGAATGGCATATTTTTGAAGAATGAACACCCTGTTCGCAGATGATCCAGTAGCCCAGTTCAGAATTCCATATCTCAGATGACAATTGCAGTTGCATAATATAGATTTATCAAGACCTCTTTTCCACAGTGGTTCGCCATAAACCACAGCTCAAAACACTGTTTACGCAGTTTCTCACAAAGTGATTCAATGTGCGGTGTCCACGTTAGTCTGTAATCTAATGTGAGACCTAGAATTTTGCTTGTTCTACACGATTCAACGTGTAGTTCATTATTTTCAAAAATGTTGAGTGTTTCAGTAGCATTACGCAGAGTGAAATTCAATTCCTACTGGTTTTTATTTACCCATGTGATTATTATTTCGCATACTATCTCTGTAGTTTCTGCGAGGGCGAACGTATTTCGATCATTGATCAGGAAATTAGTGTCATCCATATATGCGATCAGCTGAACGGATGAGAGAGCAAAAACAACACTACAGTCATCTTCCAATAGGTCGTGAAGTAATTAAAATTCAAGTATAATAATTACTGATGATCAGAACCTGCCTATGATGTTCCAGATTTACGCGTTACTGACAAAAATAGTTTGAATTTTGACACTACTTGTCAAACTTGATAAGAAGATTAAACAAGATTGACAAGCCTGACTCACAATAGCCAATAACTGCTGTATGACTTATTTATGCACACACTGTACATTGGCCATAGGGCTTGAACTCGCTAAGCTGAGACTGCATATCACAAGTGGAAGCGAAATATAAATAATGAATGATATTAGCTATCATAGATAAAAACCCAAAGTTATCTATGAACTACACCACTCAACTTTAAGTTACCATGGACTTCTTACAAAGATTAATATCTATCATTCTGCATAAAAATGATTTTAAGAATCGATAATTATTTTAAGATTCTGTTCATGAAATCAATCAGATTGTAGGATTTCACCTCGAGCTTGACATTATATTGTTAGGTATCATTGAGTTACACCTGGTAGATACCTAGATGTACATCATGTTATTAGTTTTGGTCAATTACTCATATTGTGTATCTACTGTCTATATTATGTACTGCTGAAAATACAGGTACTTAGAATACATATTTAATTTCAGCACTTTACTAATCAATGAATAACAATTCCATTGAATAGGTAATATAACTAATAGTCAATAAAAGAAGAGTTCATTTTATGATAATACAATATTATTATTTTTCCAATTCATCAAGGTGAATACATTCATTGTCGACACAACAAATGGGAGTTAGGTTAAGGAAATGATTCCTCATCATCGACAATTTTTTTTTAGTATATTGACAATTTTTTTAAGGAAGGTTAGGGAAATCAACATGACTAGAGACCAGAGTACCGACTGAATATCTCAGTAACTGAAAAAAATGGACTTTATTTTGATTTTCCTCAATTATTTTTCTTTCAATGTAACCATGAAAGTGCATGCTCATAACCTATCGTAACCTGACTATACAGCTCGCAAATCTATTAGACCATTAGGACCTCAACTGGAATAGTTTGCTCTGATCACTACAAAATATTTTCTGTATAGTTGAATAGAATGGCGTCCCTTGAATATGATTCCTGGTGTTGAGTTATAGCAAGAATTTGGTCAAAATGTTGAAGAAAACCAATTGTTAAATTGTCGACGTTTCGAAACTTTATTGTTTCATCTTCAGGACACTGAAGTAAAAAACAAGAACATACATATTGAAATGAAATTTTGAAATTAGGGGTTTGATAAAAACAATATAAATTATGTAAGGTAAGAATTGTTGAAAATAAAACACTCCTAACACTTTACAGAAAACAATATTGATATATAAATACGTATACACAGGTTCATGAAAGACCTTAACACAGACACGAGCACGAAGGAATGAACAAACTGAACTGTCGCTGAATCGTTTCTTTTTATTGCCCTGTAACCCTATGGCTTTTGACCCCTCATTGGAAAGCTAGTGGAAAGAGGAATCCAGCGTACTAGTCAAATTTCAGTTTCTCATACTTTGAATGGTTGCATAAAAGTGAAATGTCATTTTAAAATTCATTCTTTTTTCAACGTATCAATCGCTCAAAATATGTATTAAGCTGGAGGCTAGACTTATCAGTTTATACCCATCACCTATATGTTTTTCAAAAAACTTTCAAAGCTATGGATATCGACTTGAATACGAGTGTCAAAATGAGAATACTATTCATGTACCGATAGATTGATAAGATAAGATTTCTATATAAAGTGAACACTTTCATAACAATTTGTGTCATCAACCAAAATGTTTCAAGGAGCTAAAGGTACTTATACTCTAATCTATAGTGTTTTGCTTTGTAGTTGCTAACGACATATTGAAACTTTCAGGACTTTCAGGAATAACTTGTATTGTTATTTTGATATGTCAAGCAACCTGTTTATCGCTGAAATTAGGTGAAGATATTGAAGTATCTTTATTACCAACAGAAAATGGAATAAGATTGAGAGCTGCAAAAAGTGAGTATGGAATTGAAAAAATCAATTTTTTCTGCAATCGACTCAGAAGTCGTTCATTTTTGTTTCAAAATTAGCTCTTGAAGTTACTCTTACTGACACAATGAAATGATTAGTATGTATGTTGCTAGGCAACACTTTCAGTGTCAAGTTGCTTGAACTTCAACCCTAGGAACTAAAAACGTGTCAGATGACAGCTGAAATGATAGCTGCTTTGACACTAGCATGATCAAGTGAGTCAACATAGTGGTAACTTCACTTATAATTTATTAATTAGATATCAATTATTTCAAATGCCAAACAAAGTGTCACATTTGATCCTAACAACTGCAAGCCCAGAAAACAACTACTTTCTAAATCTATTGAACACACACGATAAGAATTTGGAAACAAAATCTTCTGAAGTTGAGAATTTGCATTCTCCTCCAGATAAAAATGTGTATATATATACTCATACTATCATTCTGGATATTCAACAGAAAACAACCACTTTCCTGGCTATTTGCCACGTCGAATATTGAAGTATATCTGTTGAACATCCAAAAGGGGAGCATGAGAAATGAAAAAAACATCAATGAGTGTTATATATTTTCAGAAAATGTAAAGCATTATTGATGGCCGTGTTAGCATCAGGCATAAATACCTATATACCTCAACCACGGCTATCTGTTTCGCAGTGAAAATTGCCGGAAAAAATAATTGCATTTTGTCACTTCACCGGGGCATGAGTTCATCCACTTCTGATGTTATATTATGGTCATAATTCAATAAACACGAGCACAAATGACATGGACAAGGGTTACACTTGCTCTTAACTCGGCTGCCTGCCGAACACTGTATGAGCCAGTCTTCACAAACGTCTGTCATAGGCTCTGATCTAAGCACATTCCACTGAGCAGTAGCGCATCTAGTTGCTAGATGGTAACAGTTTCAAATATAAAAAAAATATACAGGGTGTTCCATTTAAAAAACCATAACTTTGGGTTATATTTGCATAATTATGGGTTATTTCGTTTATATGACTACGCCAATGGATCCTACGTTCAAAAATGTGAAGAAGAAAGTTTTTACTTTTTTGATATGTTGAACGATAACTGATATACAGGGGGGTCTCAAAATGTAACATTCTCAATTCCGCCCTGTATCTCAAAAACGAAATGAGTTATAAAAATTCCGTTAGCAGTATCACTATCTTTGTAAGTAAATGAGATATACCGTGAGGCAATCGAAAATAAGACACCCTGTACTGAACAATTTTCACCAAATTGGATCAAGGTGGATTTATGCACACCGCTTGCACTACCTTTATTTGATTTTAAACTCTTCTTCTTGATCAAATCATAGTCCTCAGGGTACTTAGCCTGATGGAAATATTTGTGTTATGACATTCAGTGATCACATGATTACAATAAGAATCATTCATACATATCGTTTCCAGAGTCTAATTCGAACATACGACTAGAATTTTCAGAATTTACAACCACATTTTGAAAACCGATGAGGAAAAAATTGTTTGTCTGACTTCTGACCGAATCGCGCCTGCGCAGTCACAGTTTTATTTATATTTGTCGTTAAGAGATAAAGGGTGACTTCATAGAAACTTTCAGCATTTAAGATTTAACATTTAAACATCCAAGACTTGAGAGTCTAAAGTTATAAAAAAAATAAGATTTTCGAAGTTTAGTAAGTTAGAAGTTGGTTGGAAATCAAAATTTCATGTTCTGATATCATTCTATTCATTTATATTTATATTCCTGAAATGATACCCACATCCATTATATCTCCACATCATCTTGTGAAAGTAATCACTATTCATTGCCTAACAGAAACTGGCTCACTCCTTGGATCTTTTGCCAAATTTGGAGGCAACAGAGTTACGACATTCTAGTGTATTTTTGAAGAACAGTGCGATATCCATCGAAAGAAAAACAAATATTCAGGAATAGCAACACAAGATATTTGAATTATTTTTGAATGGCGGGAAATTGAGATGTTACTTTTAGATGCGCACTCCTTATTCCATTAATGATCATTTATCAGCACTTCTTGAGTTGGAAGTTGTTGGAATGTTAAGTCATAAGTCTTAATAAATGGTTATATAACATAACCAATGATATTTCCATGTTCCATCTGTCATAAGTGATAAACCTTAAATGTAAAGAGATAAATCTTGAGTCTTAAAGTTTTTTATAAAGTGGCCCAAAAGTTGGTCATCTACAAGCGAATAGAATTGAATAGAATAGAATAATATCGTTTAATTGCAAATAAGACTACATTTACAAAGTTGCATCAGTAAAGGAATTACCAATTAAACATGGAAACTCACAGAGGTCTCTGCCTGTGTGTAAGCAAAAAAAAACAAATTCATACATACTTTAATTTGAAAATAGTGAACAACAAACTGTATACTCGCAGAGGACGAAGAAACATAAGAACATAAAAAACGTAATCAAACTTAAAATTCAAGTATTCTTAAGAATAATACTAAATTGTTACAATATATATATATATATATACGATATTGACATTAATATAAAGTGATGTACATGATCATTGAGATTATAGTTGAACATATATTTGAATTGAGGTTGATTTAATGGTTTTTGCAACACATGTATATAGCTACCCATATAATATGTCACTTTCCTAGAATGATGCACACAAAGGGATAATCACTATCGAAACTCAATCGACACGTATAAGTGCACGGGAGGTATTCTTTAAGTAATGAGTAGGTTTTTTTTTTGAATAGCATAATGTATGAAGTGAAATCGGTAGCGAGTTGAAAAATGTTAGACCTAAGTATGAAAAGCATTTTTATGTCCTATTGCTTTGATGTCTTGTATTATATTCATGACTGAGTTGTACCAAGTTACTTTTTTTCTGGTGTTGTCGAATATTGATGATTTTGAGTCAGCTATCAAATGGCTAGTATTTACGATTCTTGATCAATTTTAGGAAGCGCTTCTGAATCACTTCGAGAGGGCGCAAATGAGTTTTTGATACACCTCCCCAACCCATAGTCAATGAAAGATAAAATTCAATTCAGCTGCATGAATGAATGAACTGGAATACGAAATTTTAACTTATTAGAGAAATCGATAATGATTGTGGAATTACAAATCCGTCCGTCGACCTCGTATTAACGACTAAGTTTAATGTATATGAAATCGTTCAATAATGACCCCTTTTAATGAACGATTTGTCTATTAATGCACGATTCTTTTATAGGCAACCAAACATACACCGTGTGCATTCATTGTTTAGAATATAACTTACGGAATCTGCATTTAAATCGAAAATATGGATTTCATCGAAGATTTTCCGTTAACGGGTTCGCCTTTCCAAGTTTCTGACACGATTTTAATCCCTGTTTTTCAACACAAGGAATTTATTTTCTATGTTGATCATTTCGACGAATGTCAAATGTCACTAATGTCAGTCGTAACAAGGCTACTGGGTGATTCTTGGCAGTTTCCGGATGAATGATGAATTCGCGAACCAAGTTTTCTTCATTGCAGGAGAAATGGGAAATATAGTCGACGAAAAAATTTTGTGACCAACTTGTATATCAAAAGGCGATTAATGATCTCGAACATTAACGCGCTCACTTCGCTCGCACGTTAAAATATCTCGATCATTAATCGCCGTCATTAACACGTTGAGTGCCACGTGTATCCAACATGGATACACATGCCACAACATTTTAGTGGCCACGTGTATCCGTAGCGGTATCGGATGCACACTTTGCACGTATTCTTATGGGAGCTTTTATATAGTGGCCTGGGGTACCCAAAAAACCGGTTGGCCTGCGGATTTTTTTTCTCGTTTTTTTTTTACAGAAGGTTTTATGAATAGGTACACACATCATATGCAGAAAAGTTTATTGCGAAAGAATCCAAATTCTGAAATTATGTAAAGTGAAAAAAACGTACACACGCATATTTTAGGCTATAAAACAATTGTGAATTTCAGAAAAACAAGATAAGCAATAATATTTTTGACATGTTACGTGTCGTTTATTCAGTAGCCAATTTTCTTTCGACCTCTTCACTCTTTTCCTTATAGCAGTTGACACACCGACCTCTAGTCTGTTCCTCTAGATAATGTTGTGGAGGTTGATTTTCACCTCGAGAATGCCAATGCAGCGCTAATGTATCTGCATTGGATACACGCGGGTACAATATGCGAAACTAATATATATTGGCCACGTGTATCCAACGTGGATACATTTTCAAAAACATGTTTTTAGATCATCTAAATTCTTCTAACATCATTTTTTTCACATTTTGCCTTCAAAATAACAATTATTTAGCAAATTAAGAAAGAAAAAAAAGTTGGCCAGGTGACCCAAATTTTTTTCTACCATTGTGGCACTCAACGTGTTAATACACTAGTTGGTTGAATAACTACTATACATATACATAAAAACGACAATCTTTTGTACAGATGCTGAAGAATTGCTGTCAGGCAACCTCAACTTCGGCAAGAACTTATCGTCACTGAATTGTTTGGGCCAGCCGAAATGCGAAGTAGATGGCAGCACCTTGACCATCAGCACGGTCCAATCAGGCTTGGTCATATTCTGGGAAACCCCAAACAAATCCACACAGTTCCAGGACTGCTTCGACCTTTCGAATGGGGTGCATTGGTACGGAGGCCCGGAAAGGAGAGTGCAAAACTGGCCTCTGGAAAAGATGACCATCGATGGCAGTGAGCCGTATGTTGTGAGACGAGACGACAATTTTGGTATTGCCGAGAGATATTGGCTGAACTCCAAGGGAGTTTTCATCTACTTGCAGGAAAACGTGCCGTTGTTCGTCGACCAAAACTCGGCTCAAGTTAACAAAGTTTGCTTCAACGCCAGGCTCGAGAAACCTTTCATCAACAGGGAAAGAGTAAGAGAACATGATTTTTTTCATTTTTGGATGTATGATAAATTGATCTTCATCATACAGGACGTGGAATGGAATTATGAATTGAGGAAACCTAATCACGAATCTGTGATTGAAGTCTATAAAAATAACAAGTTTCCATCGTTCAAGTTTGAACCCTTTGATTGGGTGAAAGTATTGAAAAGGAATATTCTCAGATATAATTATGGAGATAAAAAAATAGATAGATCGCACTGGGACGAAATAGCGCAGGACAAAATAGCGCAGGACGAAATAGCGCGGACAAAATAGCGCAGGGACATAATAGCGCAGGGACATAATAGCGCAGAGACAAAATAGCGCAGAGACAAAATAGCGCAGGAACGAAATAGCGCAGAGACAAATTTGAGCGCGAAAACGTAGTGCATCATCTATGATTACGTTAATTCGTTTGTCAGGGCATAGACTATTTCTTCAAATACTAGATGTTTCAAAAGGAGACTACCCTCACAAACGAAGTAACTTAATACTAGGTATGCCGTTGGATTGTTAAAGTAGACCTATGATAAGGTGAGTTTGTTTGCTAGGGTATAGACTCATTTTGAAACACCTTGTATTTGAAGAATGAGTCTTTACTCTTACAAACGAACAAACCTAATCATAGATCGTACACTCCATTTTCGCGCGCAATTTTGTCTCTGCGCTATTTCGTCTCTGCGCTATTATGACCCTGCGCTATTTCGTCTCTGCGCTATTTCGTCCCTGCGCAATTTACATATACAGTGTCTTTCAAAAGTATCGGAACGGTCTCATATTTCAGGAACGGCTTGAGGAAAATTCACGAAATTTTCTACAAGGTGATTATTGATGATGTCCGATTCAATGGTGACATCGGCAATGTTGCCAAGTTTACAGTTTTTCAGATATTAGGAGTAACTTTATTTTTTCAAATGGAATACCCCATTTATTTTTATTGCAATTGATTAGGCGCCTCCTAATTACTTGAGTCCCTGAATATCAGATTCGTAGTTAATGTGACATTCGTAATACGACAACATAGCATTTTCGTTGAAAAGTTCTGGAACGGTCCCATATTTCAGAAACGGCTCAGAGAAAATTTATGAAAACTTTGACAGGATGATTTTTGATGATGCTCTATTCAATGGTGATATTGGCAATGTTGCCAAATCAACAGTTTTTCAAATATTGAGGGTAACTCAATTAATAAAATGAATAGGGTTTTCCATTTGAAAAAATTTAACTTCCCTCAATATCTGAAAAATATATTGAATATATTAGAAGGTTCCCAGACTGTTGAACGAAAATGCCATGTTGTTATATTTCGAAAACCACTTCAATTTGAAATCTGATATTTGGAGACATAAGTAATGTGGCGTCGCTGAATGTATTGCAATGAAAACAAATAGGGTATTCCATTTGGAAAAATTGAGTTACCCTAAATATCTGAAAAACTGTTGATTTGGCAACATTGCCGATATCACCATTGAATCGGGCATCATCAACAATCATACTGTCGAAGTTTTCATAAATTTTCTCTGAACCGTTTCTGAAATATGGGACCGTTCCAGAACTTTTCAACGAAAATGCTTTGTTGTCATATTTAAAAAATCACGTTAATTACGAATCTGATATTTAGAGACTCAAGTGATTAGAAGGCGCTTGATTAATTGCAATAAAAATAAATGGGGTATTCCATTCGCAAAAATAAAGTTACTCCTAATATCTGAAAAACTGTAAACTTGGCAACATTGCCGATGCCACCATTGAATCGGACATCATCAATAATCACCCTGTAGAAAATTTCGTGAATTTTTCTCAAGCCGTTCGTGAAATATGAGACCGTTCCGATACTTTTGAAAGACACTGTATGAAGAGATACATTGAGATTTCGCATTCTCTATGTGATGAAAATATCAATTCTTCCTCGGTTTATTCAACAGAAAACAATTACTTTCCTGGCTATATGCCACGACGACGACGAACATTGAATTACATCTATTGAACACACGATAAGAATTTGAAAACAAAATCTTCTGATGTAGAGAATTTGCATTCTCCTTCATATGAAGATATCACTCAGATGTTGCCCTCCTATGGATCGCAACTTGGCTACTCGCTTGGCTTGATGAGAGGATTTTGATCATTTTACAACCCAACCATATTCATCCCCAAATGAAGAGTCAAGATAGTTTTCGTATAAAATTAACATTATTTATTGATTTAATGGGAAAGTCGTGGATAAAAGCTTTTCACATGGCAAAGTACCATAGTAAATTACCAAACGGAACACAACACAAAACAACCATTCAGATAGAACATGGAAAAACAGTACTTACATTATGACATCTAACATGGGGTTGACCAGCAGGATCAAAGTCGGGAGGACGGTACACATTTTGGCAGCAACTCGTGAATTAGTAACTCAATTACGGAATAAAGTAAAGTGTTATCGAAATGCATTATAATTTAATATAATAATCAAATAGTAATGAATTAGTTATCAGTAACTAGTAATGAGTAAATCAATAATAATGAATAATCAGTAATGAATGGCTTATCGATTCGGAATCTATTTATATTTGGAATCGATGCTAACATTGCAATTTTCCGCAATGGCAATGCTCGATACCGGGCGTATAGCTTAGCCCGCATCGCAAGCTAAGCGGTTTCATGCAAATTTTACCGGAACTAGAGTCTATGAACTCCGCTTTGACCTGATCGAAAAGCTGTACAAGATGTTTTAATTTGGAAAAGTTAATTTATGAATAAAGATCTAGAAATGAACGAAAGTTTGAGTGATGTTATTTCATAGACATTTGTACTTCTTGACAATATCATACTGAATATTCAACAGAAAACAACTACTTTCCTGGCTATTTGCCACCTCGAGCATTGGAACAGATATAGTTGGACATCCAAAAGGAGAGCATGAAACATGAAAATCCTCTGAAATTGAGAATTTATATCATAATACATCATATTATTTTATCCGATTTGAGAGATGATGTCAATTCTCAATTTCAGATGATTTTCATATTTCATGCTCTCTTTTTGGATGTTCAACAGATATAATTCAATGTACGTCGTGGCATATGGCCAGAAAAGTCGTTGTTTTCTGTTGAATAAACCGAGAAAGCATTGATATTTTCATCACATAGAGAATGCGAATTCTCAATGTTTTTCCTTATATATGTTATATATCCATTTTTCAAGTTCATAATTATATTTGAGAATATTTCTTTTCAACATGATTTTTTTTATATTGGACAGTTGAAAGGTGTATTTTTTTTTCAGAATATTCTTGAATACCGTATAATGTTTGGCGACGATCCTAAATCAGCACATCTCCTGGCTGTGAATGATTTCTTAGGAAAACACTCAGGTATAACGAATGCAAGGTATACAGCGTGTCCCTAACAGGTCTGAACGAATTCTCAACACATATTCCTGATCAACTACGAAATAGTCACAATGCTCAAAGTGGAATGAAATGTTAAATAAATACAAAAAGCTCAGAGTCATATCCACACAATGTTCATAAAATGAACAACAATGGTAGATTCTGGTAGAAAAACAACTACTTTCCTGGCTAACATTGAATCACATCCTCCTGGAATCGGGAAATCGGGGGATAATGATTCCGACTTGATCTTTGTGTGGCCAGGCTACGCTTAATCGGCGGTCTTAGGACTGCTGGCTGGAGACTTCCCTGCACTGATGAGAGTCAACGAGCCGGTCTATAGGTGCCTGGCTGAATCGAAATCAATAGGCAGTCCAGAAAGGATCACTTGTAATAGTATTCGTTTATACGAGCCGATGCATAGATTTCGGGAGGATGTATTTCAACGTTCTGCGTGGCATTAGCCAGTAAAATAGTTGTTTTTCTACCGAAATCTACCATTGTTGTTCATTTTATGAACATTTTGTGTGGAGCTTTCTGTATTTATTTAACATATACCAAAATGAGCCGATTTGAAGCAACGTACATTAATCAGAAATTGCGGTTTCCGAGATGCTGTGTGATGAATTAAAAATATATTAATGTGACACCTACATACACTCCAAAGAAGTATTAAGAAAATCCATTCTGAACTGCTAATTCACTGACCAAATTACGAGCCAAATTACATCCATGAAAGTATCAGCAAAAATTTTTTTGTTCAAAATCCGCTGCGGCATCGAACATTGAAACAGAAATATCTCGAAAACGGTTTACTATAGCTGATTTTCACAGGTCCACCTTTTCGGCTAAAAATTGTTTAGAAAATTATTTTCCCAACAAAAACAATAGAAACGGTCAGTAAGAAAAAATGTTATGACCATTCTAAGCCATAAGAAGTGCATTGGAAAGCGCCATCAATCAGCCACAGAGAAAAGGAGACCGTATTCGGGTTTCACATCCCAAAATACCCCAGACTACTAATTTTCTGAGTAATTCGTTAAACTTAGTAATTTCGGACTGAGGTGAGTTGCTTCAAATCGGCTTATTTTGACATCATCAGGAATATATGCTTAGATTTTGTACGGACCTTATAGGGACCAAACTTTTCATTATATCAAGTTGATTGATAATTTCTCATCATATTGGAAGTTGATATCTATAATCTATATTCACCATTAACCTAAAAAGAACATTTTTGCTTTTGGGTGTATGATGAATTGACATTCATCATACAGGGCGTGGAAAGAAATTCTGAATTGAGACTCTATCAGGAATCTGCGATTAGAGGTGTATAAAAATCACAAGTTTCCATCGTTCAAGTTTGAACCCCCTGATTGGCTATTGAAGTGTTGAAAAGGAATATTCTCAGATAAATTATGAACATACAAAAATGGATATATATTTATATGAAGCAATACATTGAGAATTCGCATTCTCTATGTGATGAGAATATCTACTCTTCTTCAGTTTATTCAATAGAGAACAACTACTTTCCTGGCTATATGCCACGACGAACATTGATTTATATCTATTTGAACACACACGATAAGAGTTTGAAAATAAAATATAAAAACTTCTGAAATTGAGAATTTGCATTCTCTTTCAGACAAAAATATGTCATTCTGATTATTTCAACAGAAAACAACTACTTTCCTGGCTATTTGCCACGTCGAACATTGAAAAATATCTGATGAACATTCAAAAGGGGAACATGAAAAATAAAAAATAAAATCCTCCGCAATGTTTGCGAAAACGTTACAAGGTATATCCTTTGGGAGTTTATCATATACAATAAAATATTACAGAAAACGTACAAACTCTTTCTTGAGTAATATTATCTTCAGAGAAAATGAAATTTCATATCCAATAGGTATTCCAAACCGTAAAATGATAGAGGAACCAATCTGGACTACTTGGGCCAAATACAAAAGGGATATAACAGACGATATAATCCTAGAATTTGCTCAGGAAGTCAGAAACCACGGCTACAATGGACAAATAGAAATTGATGATAATTGGGAGGTAGGAATATTCATTTAACTAAGTAAATGTGTCATCATTTTGGGATCTCGAGTAAAGAATCAGTTGGATTTAAAAACGAAAAGTTCATGAGGAAAAACAATAATAATTCTCAGTACCTTTCTCTGCGATATTGCGAGAACAATTTATCAGGTATTTTGCATCAAAATCAGGAAATCTCGAGATTCTAATAAGGTGTGCGATAAAAATTGTAGGAGAAAAAAACTATCTTAATTCAATTATATTCGTAGACGTGCTATGGCGCTCAAGAATTCAGTCAAGAAACATTCTCAGACGTCGCTAATACAGTGAAGAAACTGAAAGAAATGGGTTTCCGTGTTACTCTTTGGGTCCATCCATTCGTCAACAGCGATTGTCAGAATAATTCTGATGAAGGTGTAGAAAATGGTAAGGTTATTATTTCATCCAGGAAATTCAAGATATATAGTAAAAAATTGCTCCTTATCCTTATATCTCACATCAAAGATGAAAAGCTTAGAGGCAGGAATTTATATAATAATTATCAACAAAAATATATTACTATTTTCAGGGTCAGGAATGAAAAAAATCAATATTATTTTTTCTGTGACGGCAAAAAAGTTTGGCATTTCATCTCTGTTGGCAGGTTATAAAATGTCACTTTTCATAAATTACTTTTTTCCCGTGAGGATGAACTGTCGGATAGTGAATTTGAAGATGTCATCGTATATCAGGGAAAAAGTGGCATTATAAATGTGTTATCAATCTTGATATTCTTCAACAAATAGCTCCAGAAAATACTCGGAATTTAGAAATTCTCCCGACGGAATATGTTCAGTCACATAAATGGCAACTTTGACTTAACTTAAGCGTATTAGAATACCGTATATCGTATATTCTATAGCTTCCGAGATCCAAATTAGTACCCTCCAATTCATATTATCCAGTACTTATACAATAATTTGAGAAAGTAGGAGCAGAAATGAGAAAAACTGGTACAAGAATTTTTCGAAAATGTTTAGGTAACAATTCATCATTCTTCAGGTTATTTTGTTGTGGACAGCAACAACAAAACGAACGGAAGCTGGTGGAACAGCAACGATGCTCATCAAATCGACTTCACAAATCCCCAAGCAGCAGAATGGTGGTCAGCTCGATTGAGAAAATTGCAGGCCAATGTTGGAATCGATAGTTTCAAATTTGACGCTGGAGAAACCGATTACGGACCTCAAGTAAGTTATACAGTGTCATTCATAAAGTCGGCATCATATGGGAAAAACTTTAATTAATGACCTATTTTGAAATTCGAGTTGACCGTTAAGTTTTGCTTCAAAAAAGATGAAAAATGGTCTACTCAATCGGGGTCACGTGACTTTCGCTACATGTCAAAAGTGACATTTTTTCAAATTAATTGCTGAAAGTAGGCTTATTTGTTTGAATATCGGAAAAGTTTACTTGAGAAAGTTGTTTCTATTTAAACTTTACACATGCTTCTCGAATTTGATCTTTCTATTGCAACTTTAAGATTTTGATTTTTTTTTTAATTTTTCGAAATTTCTGTAATATTTGAAGAATTGTTAATTCCACGAAACTACTTCATACCAGTAGCTTTTTCATGCTACTACCTTTCAACTACTCATTATCACTGATTATGGACAGGAATATGATTTTCTTCAGAAAATAATAAAACCCGTTTCCGAATTCTGTTATGTTTGATGCAAAGTTGATATATCGTCAAGCATTTAGAAACGAAATTCATTTGATATTTTGATCGATGGCTTCGGCATATTTTCAGTACTGAAAAAATCAATTTAGATGATTTTCGTTTCTAAATGGTTGACTCAAACATAACAAAATTTTGATGTTATGTTTGCATCAAACATAACAGAATTTTGAAGGGGAGATTATCATTTTCTGAAGAAAATCATATTTTTGTCGATAATTAGTGATAATTAGTAATTGAATATTAGTAGCATGATGAAGCTACTGGTATGAAGTAGTTTCATCGAATTTACAATTTTTTTAATATTACAGAAATTTCGAAAATTCTTAAAAAATATCGAAATCTAAAAATTGTAATAGGAAGATAAAATCCGAGTCACATATGTGAAATTGAAATAGAAACAACTTCTTCAAGTAAACTTTTTCGATATTCGAACAAATAAGCCTACTTTCAGCGATTAATTTGAAAAAATATCACTTTTGACATGTAGCGAAAGTCACGTGACTCCGATTGAGTAGGCCAATTTCTATCTTTTTTGAAGCAAAACTTAACGGCCAACTCGAATTTCAAAATAAGTCATTAATAAAAGTTTTTCCCATATGATGCCGACTTTATGAATGACACTATATGTAAACCATGTTTTCACATTACTCCTCCCTACATCCCACACAGCACATGACATCTAATGGACGTCCGTTTTGAGTCCAGCTTTAGTCCAAACGTCCATGGATGTCAAATGGACATCCATTGTATGTACAGGGTATCCCAATTTGGGCACTTTTGCGGAGTATCTCCTTATCAGTAAAGATAGAGCATTGCGGTTTTCGCGACAGTGTGGTACTTTTTTATGAAATTAATAATGGCGCAAGCAGAATTGTGGTAGCTCTTCCGGTTGTCTAGATACAGGGTGGAATTGAAAAATATCACCCCCCGTGTCTCAGTTATCTTTGAACTTATCGAAGAAGTTAAAACTTGTTTTTACAGAGTTTTTCTCGTCGAATCCAGTGGCGTAGTTATTTGTTTGCTAGCACCTTTTGTTTTTTAGTTATGGAGCAAACATATGTTTTTTCAAATGAAAAATAATTGTATACAATTATATATTTTTGGAAAGCCCACTTCATGCTCAATGTGTATATGAAATAATATACAGGGTGTTCCATTTAAAAAAACATATGTTTGCTCCATAACTAAAAAACAAAAGGTGCTAGCAAAAAAATAACTATGCCACTGGATTATACGAGAAAAACTCTATAAAAACAAGTTTTAACTTCTTCGATAAGTTCAAAGATAACTGAGACACGGAGGGTGCCTGAAAAGTGATATTTTTCAATTCCACCCTGTATCTCGACAACCGGAAGAGCTATCACAATTCTGCTTGCGCCATTATTAATTTCATAAAAAAGTAGCACACTGTCGCGAAAACCGCAATGCTCTATCTTTACTGATAAGGGAGATACCCCGCAAAAGTGCCCAAATTGGGATACCCTGTACAAGAATCGGACGTAAAGTCGATATTCCGAATCCATCCATCCATTGTACGTACCTACATATTATAATAAGGGATCGACCGATACCGATATTTATATCGGCCTATCGGTGATATCGGCCTCATTGACCGATTATCGTATCGGCCGATATAAAAAACCGATAGACCGATATATTTTTTTATTGGAAAAAAAAATCAATTTGAAGAATGAATGAAAAAAATACACTTCCATCAAAAATATATCTTTATTACCAATAAAAAGTAGGTATGTAACGTAAAATCAACTGAATTCTTTGACTAGTTATTAAAAATTAATAAAATAAAACCCTATGCGGATTGCAACTGTAAGGTAAAATTATTTCACCCTACTAAAATACAAAAATAACTGATCAATACTGATAATTTAGTTTTGGTAGGTTGTGATGCAAAAACAATAAGCTTTCTGCCCTATCAGAAGTTAGCCTGCTACGTTTTGCATCATAAATATTACCAGCTTCAGAGAAAACTTGTTAACGGCCGATAGACCGATATATCGGTATTTGAAATATCGGTATCGGCCGATTATCGGTATCGGCTATTTCTATATCGGTCGATCCCTAATTATAATGTACAAGTAAATACTGAAGTATTGAAATAAATTATGATTATTAATCATTTTGTTTATACTAGTCACTGGATGGTATTAGATCTATTACTACCATCCAGTGACTCTAGTTTATACTTTCCATCCTAAATGTGAATGGCGTTTTCAATGGTACTTTATGTTTTTGTGGAGAAGTCTTGTGAAAAGTCTGATAATCTGATTGATTCTAGTTTGTGTGCAGTTACCTACCTATTTTAATTGTTGGTTGTGATATGTGATACCTAAATATGACTGTATACGGAGTATACGAAAGTTATTCTGGGACACCAATTTGAAATTAATTGAGAGAACTAATCTCAAAGTCTCGCTCCAAGTAAATTTTAATAAAATAATACGTGCAACATGTTTCGAGTCCTAGGAGTCATCATCAGGCTGAAATACAAAAAACTTATAACTAAAAGAAGTTCCATCACTATTGGAAAATGGGTGACATACCTTGCTAGCTAGGAGGAGAAAAGAAACTATAAAATTGATAACATGGTTCGTGAGGGTTTTAGGCCCCAAATAATTTCAAAAAACATTTTTGAATTTTCTTTTTTTGAACCCCCAGATAAACATTTATCTTAAGATGTTTCTTTTTTGTATCAAAAAACTATCATAGTGTAAAGCAAATGGCGCGAGTATGAAGTAAACAAACCGTCAGACTACTTGATTCGAAAGATAAAAATGGTAGATAAAAATTATTTTTTGACAAACAAGTGACAAATGTCTATCAAATACACAAAACATTGAAGTTGACTCAATGGATCATAACATCAAAGTTGATAAACAAGAAAATTTGTCTAGATTGACTAAGTCGGGTATTTAAAATTGTGTTTTTTGAATTAGGAATGACAACATTAAACAAAAGGATTGCCAATGCAACCAATGAATGGAGAGGAAGATTACAAAATGGAATTGAAAGTGTATAGGCAATCAAATCTAACTTGTTCATTAAGGCAGACAGTTGAATTTGAATGAGCAGATCTATTGATTTCTAAAATTTCCAGAAGGTTAGGTTAGGATGAACGTGTAGGATTTCAAAATCTTGTTGTATATTATGTTCGTGTTTATTCTCGAGAACATGTTTGCGAAAGAAGATGTAGTGTTGATAATATCAGAGTTACTATATTTGTCAATTGTCTTCTTATGTTCTGCTATCCTGGTGGAAAAAGCTCTCCCTGTCTGACCAACGTATTCTGCATTGCAATCAGAGCATTTGAAATTGTTTTCAGCCTTCTGTGTATAGATCTGTGCCACAAGAGGCGGTACCGAACATTCTTACATCTAGCTACATCAGGACTTGCGCCAAATTTGGCGATCTCATCGAGGTCCGGTCAGCTTGGAGGTAAGAGAGTTATTATCTTGCATACGAAACCAAAACTATTTTCATTTTCAGAACTCAAGACTTGCCGATTTTCGTGAGAATGTTAGACAAAGACTCGAACTGGGAAATGAACAATGGATTGCCGACACTCGTTACAACTTTATTGCAGATGAACATGAATGGATACACATTGTAAGTGTTCCAGACAAATAATTAGGGAATATTCTCTTTTGATACCACTACAGGTCAAATTATTTCCGGAAATTTCCCGCAAGTAATTTGACCTCGTGTGGTATTCGGTAAGAAAATTTCACATCAGATAGTGTTTTGGGATTTAAATAATTTTAGAATATATTACTTCATTTGATTTGCATCATACAGGTTCATGAATAAATTTAGTTTGGGTCGCAGTGTCGGCGCCAATAATAGATTCCTGATTTCTACCTATCATACTTGCATGAAAATACCAGTTTAAAATGTAACATATTATATTCTTTCATTTTATATTAACTTCGGAATACTAACAGGTAAAAAGAAATTGTAATTTTGTCAATTAATTTTTCATAGGTATAGGTACATACATACATGGTAATTTGTCATAGAAACCCAATTTAATTGTATAAAAATCTCTGGTGTGGAATTTTCATTAGTATATGAATAGACATCGAAAGTCATAATATTATATACATCAGGATGTATTTTCTAGCAATTTATATTTTATGAAGATGAATTCGAGATCGAATTACCATCAGGAACCGAATTTCATGATTTTAAGATCAATGGTAATAAAACAAAGATAATTGAAGAAAAGTGAATTTGTTAACCTAGCTTCGAAAAGGGATTCAAAGTATTTTCCGAATCATGTTGTTTGGAACTTTTTGATTATTTTTATCTGCAGTATCATCTTCCAGAGTATACGAACGTTATTCTGGGCACCCTGTATATTTTCCTGGGACCCTGCTTCCATTAGAATGGACGTTTTTGATTATACATCGAAGTCGGAACCCAATTTCATTTTTTTTAAATTATGTTATTTTTGAGTTACGATTTGAGAACGATATTTTGCGAAAAGGCTAATTGAATTATACAATACTATGAAAAAAGTTTATTTCTGAAAATTATAGTTGACCTCATTGAGTGTTTTAATTTTCAAGAAAATTTGTCTAAATCTGGAATAAACTCATGATATGCACTGTATAATGATTTCTAGTGTTTTGCCTGACATGATTGGAGGAAACGGTTACAACATGGAGACACCATCTCCTGAACTCATGGTTCGTTGGACTCAAGCCAATACGTTCATGCCTGCTATGCAATTCAGTTATTTGCCATGGGAAATCACCAGCCCTGATGTAAGTTAGAACTATGAATAATAATAGGTAGGTACAGACAGATAGAATAGAATCACGAGAAATTATATGGAAAAAGCATATCCCTATAATAGCACACAACGTCCTAGGGACGTCCCTATTTGGTACAATTCAAGTCCGAATGCCCAGGACCAGAAGTAATAGTGTCCTTGGGACGTCCCATCTCGTGTACATCTCATTCAATGTCCGAGCAAGGACGTCCACGGAATGTCCCAGCTGGTACCCAGCGAGCACAAAAACATCTCAGAGATGTTAAAAGTACGAGATTTCGAGACATTGAACCTCCACATGAATAGAACTATTATAGAACAGCCAATGTCCGCCGCAGGCGGCAATTATCGAGATGTCCTCGATATGTCACAAAACTACCTTCTCCCTAGTTCTTTTTAAAGCCTTTTCATGGACACAACAGAACATTTTCAACGCGTCTTGCGCACATTAAATCGCTGTAAAAAAAACATTTTCGAGGTACCTACTTTTCTGAAGCCTTTTGTCAAAATGAACTTTTGCATTAGGATTCCTTTTCCCTTGAATGAAAAAATGCATTAAAAATAGATTGAACATAAAAATATTTTCTTGATATGAAATTACCTTCTTAATCGGTTTCTGAGTAGTGCTTGCTACACACAGACATATAATTGGAAATAGGTTTCCCAATTTTTGAAATGTTCTCCACAATGCATAATTTTGCAACTGCCGAGAAGCTGTGTATTAATGAATTCGTACTTTTATATATTGATTACACTGAGGCACCGAACAACACATCTTGCATCTGATATGGTCATTATTACAAACTAAATAAGTCTTCTAACACAATAAACTTCACCAAATTCCTTTCTGTTCGTTAGCAGCGTGATATGTAAGCGTGACCCGCTGCAAACGCGAATGCCAATTGCGAACAAGAAGAACAAAATCGAAAACAAATCAGAATTCATCGTATTGTGACGTAAGCATGAGACGTTGTGGTGGATAAAAACACAGAAAGGGCACAAAAGAACAAAAACAATACTTTCAAAATCCTTCTAAGACCTCTTTGGGAAGTGCAGATTACGCATCAAAAAAACATCCTCATGCCTACATTCCTAAAACATCCCAAAACATCCCAGGGATACCTCTCAGTAGGCAAACAAAGAAATGCCACAGAAGAACAAAAACAATACTTCAATATCCTTCAAAGACCTCTTTGGTCAGTGCATATTACGTCTCAAAATAACATCTTCATGCCAACATTTTCAAAACATTCCAAAACATCCCAGGGTTGTTTGTGCTCGCTGGGTACATCATCTCAAATGTCCTAGAAATAGCATCCCTCAGACGTCCCACGTGGTACATATTGTAGAATGTCCACGCAAGGACGTCCTTGGCATATCTTTGATGGGATATGATTTTAAACGTTCCTTTATGGACATCCGTCGAATGTTCCGAGTAGTACATATTTCTGGCATGACTTCAGATCTTATATAATGTCCCTTCTAGACAACCATGAAATGTCCCTGATAGTACATTTCTTCAAATATCTCTCCCTTACGGACATCCTTCGAATGTCCTTTAGGGATATCCGTCGGATGTCCCAATTGGTACATGAACTGTACTTATCCATTGTCCTAGAAATATCGTCCTACGGACGTCCCAGTCGGACCTTTCAATATGTTGTCCCTGCGAGGACGTTAACCCAGTTAACACTGATTGATTCCAGAGATATAAGAGGGCATCACATTCATGCCACAAATCACATCTTCGACTCGAATTGAGAGTCCCACTGAAATCACGATGACTGCTTTCCCGGACCCTTTTGGTCCTTTTATGATTCACATCATGATGCCAAATGAAACTCACATTACGTCTAAAGCGACTTCTCATTCAACATCAAAATTGATTGATTCCGTTTGTTACATCAATAGACAAGAATGTGAGGTTTCAGTGAGTCTCTTGGTTGTTAAGGAACCTCACAAATTCACCTCAAATCCAATAAAATGTGAAGAATATGGCGAAGGTTTTGTAAAATAAGAAGTCCCCTGGCAATACCAATGGTGTTTTCTTGTGATTCGCATTGTTACCAAGGAAGACATGGATGTGACATCCCAGGGATGTTTGTGTTTACTGGGAACTTACACCTCGCCGACGAATGATTGCTCGTAGGTTATAAATACTCCCCGTCAATGTCATTCACGTCTCTCGGACATCCTTGGAAAACTTTTTCATGATCTATTGGGGACCTTCTACGGACCATCAACTCAACTGAATGTCCTCATCAGTTATGCAAGATCTGGTCCTAGAGGGACCCAGAAAAAATCAAATTCAAGAATAATTCGTACGTCCCTGGGACATCCTATGGACATCCAATTGATATCCCTCAGCGTTGCTGATAGGTTGTCCTGCGTTGGTCGAAATAATCGGTTGCATTAGTGTTTTGGCGCCACTAGATGGCGATGACATAACTAGATCTATACAAGACTATTTTGATCGAAACGTTAATTTCCCCCCTCCTCCCATATGCTGGGGGCAATCATGCAAGAGAGCTTTTCCATATAATTTCTTGTGAGTTAACATTTTCTTATGCTTCTCACAGTAGCACGAATTTTTGTTTAAGCTGGTTGGGGGGTGAGAACCCATTCCACATATTTCCGAATGAAAAAGCATTAAGGAATTGGAATACAATATTGAAAAGAAATGTATTTCTATTCAGAATCGAATGGTCGTCTATTTTTTTCAAAATATGAATTAGAACCCCCTTTAGCAGAAAAACTGTCCATTTTTTAGGATTGTCACCCGATGATTTTCTGATCCGAATCATATGGACTACATCCCATCAAAAATTCAGCGAAATCCCCGAATATTTTTTCATTCGCACCCTCAATTTGGTGGGGGGTAATAATGCAAAAATGCGGTTTCAATAATTATCCGTGATGAAACATTTCCTATCACTTTTGACAGTTAGATGGAATTTTTTGTTTTTCGGTTTTCAAAATAGGGGTTGGGGGTAATAATTTCCCCCCATTATATTTTTTCATGAAGTATTTATTTTCAGGAGTAATTAAATGGAATAAAAAGTTTTGGAATATCGTTCACTTTCGCAGAAATAAATGGTCAATTCGATCAAAATGTGAATTCAAACCCCCCTGGCAAAACAAACTGTCCATTTTTGGGGGTTGGCTCAATAAAAATATTTTATAGAACCACACATGAATACTACATCATACCAAAGATTGGAAAATATCCACCAGGACCCAATTTACCTTACTTAAATTTGCAGGTTGCAATCAACGAGTCCTTAATTTATTTTTTCTTTCAAGTTTGACGTTCCAGCCATTGTCAAAAAATTCGTCAATTTACACCAAAACTACACTGCTGCACTATTACGGGCAGTGGAAGCGAGTAAATTGAATGGATCTCCTGTGAATCCACCGATCTGGTGGATCGATCCCACTGATGCTGAAGCGCTAGCCTGTGATGATGGTGAGTACATAGAAAAAAATTGCAATCAACAAGATAACTGGTCAATTTTTGCCGAGATTTTTGCAAAAAAACTCAAATATACAGGATTATCCAAAGGTCGTTACACTGAGAAAAAAATTGTAGTCATTACTAAAAATATAGTAACTACGGCAAGAATGTTTAGTACGATAGAAGACAGCAAGGTTATGTTGTTGCTACAACTAATTTTGATTTTCTAAAAAACACCTTTTTGTCTCAAATGGACTGCTTAGTTGTTTTATTCAAAAGATTTTTGCGGTTACTAATTGTCCTCAGTTAGAAATACTATTATTATTCTACTAGCCACAATTAAGATACTCAGTTAGAGTTGCTACCAATAGTTATCATTATTTTTTGGCATTACACACGAATATTAGTCAGACTCGATCAGAACAGTCATGGCACACTCAAATTGAAATGTCACTTATATGGTATCATTTGATTCAGAAAATGATGCAGAATTTGAAAATGCAATGATATACAGGGTGTTCCATTTGAAATTCGAAAGTTATTACCACTTCTGGTGGGACACCCTGTATAATCTAAATTATTTTCCTGGTATGATACAATTGAAGTCTACAAAATATCAAAATCCTAACCCAACTGATAACTGAGCTATAGAATACGGGAGGTGAGATGCAGGACCCTGTATAAACTATACTCTCGCTTTTTATACAGGGTGTTTCCTAACTACGGTTCCTAACTGCAGGTGCGTGATATGTCAGGTCATTTCAGGAAGAAAAGTTACTAAAATAAAATGTACGTCTTATAAGACGTCTCTGTGACGTACGCTGGCAGATTGAGCTTTAATTCTTCTGAAATTTCCAGAATTCTTGGTTGGCGAAGAAATATTAGTGGCTCCAATTCTTTCGGAAGGGGCTACTTCAAGGAAAGTGTACTTGCCAAGAGGTACCTGGAGAGATGGAAACAATGATACCAAATATACAGGACCAATTAGCTTAGATTATTCGGCAGACATAAACACTCTGCCATACTTCATAAAAGAATGATGTGATTGTTTGATATTGACCAATAAACATTTTGAAACCGAAAAAATACTTCGTTTATTCATGTGGAATCACCTACATTTAAGTTTCGAACAATGAATTGAATAAATCAAAGACTATTTTGAATATTCATATAGAGAATATTTCATTACAGTCAATGTAAGTTCAGTGAGCTGTGGTGATATTCAATCAAAGTGAGTACAATTTCATATTAAAATACACTAGATATACAGCAGTGTGGAGATACGGATTTTATTTCATCATATCTTACCACCTTGTATAATGTTTTATTAGTATTATTTCTTATAAACTGTGTCCAAAAACGGATTTTCTGAAATTTTCAATTTCATTTTCTCCTGACGTTGATAATAAAGTTATGAAAAAACAGGAGAAACATCTTCATAGCAACCTTTTGATATTACCCTATCGACATTATCGATTTTCCGTTTTGTCTTATTTGAACAACCATCGTCAACTTCATTTTTTCAAATGCAGCCCTGTTATCTTGATCTCGGATTCAACAAGCCCTTTCCATTCTGATTTCAACGATATACAGTGTGTCCCACTTACCATGCTCACCATGGGTATCATTTTAACGGTGAGAGATACGAAGTCGGTTAAATGACACCAAATGTGGAGTTTGTCAAGGCCAACTATAATGTGAAAAAATATTTTGATAAAATCTATTCGTTTTTGTTTTATACGCAAAAAACAGATTTTGATAATTTTCATATCTCCTCCGTAACTTCTTTATTTATGAAAATATTCAAATAAGAATTTCACATCCTCATGGCAGTTTTTCAAAATGATTTCGAAAAAAATATGAAATTTATACCAACTCTTGTAGAATTTGAGATATCAGCACCAACTTCAGTTTTTCAAATGTAGGTCATAGCTCACTATGACTTAGTTACAAATAACTTTTTTTTCTCTTACAGATGATATGTCGCAGTAATAGTTTTGTTGTCATAACAACGGAGTTGTCGTCATTTATACAAAAACAAAAAATTATTTGGAAGCCGCCATCTTGAATTTATAAATTTTAACAAAAAATCATGATCTCCGACCTCAAAAACCCCCACTTACCAATTTTGAATGGAATCGGACCAAATCTTGTCCGCCATCTTGGAAGTTATGGAATTTTTGTTGAAATAAAAAAAAATGGCTGCTCCAAGATGGCGGACCAAAATACAAAACTCGTCCACCACATCGGATCCACAATTTTGAATTTCTCAATTTTGACGAAAGAATCATAATCTCCGATCCCAAAAACCCCCACAGATATCAATTTTGGATAGAAACGGTTCATAATTACAAAACTCTTCCACTATATATTGAATCCGCCATCTGGAATTCTTAAATTTTTACGAAAGAATCATAATATCCCACCGTCAGGTATCAATTTTGAATAGAATCGGATCATAATTACAAACTCGTCCGCCATTTTGGAGCCGCCATTTTGTTTTTGGTCTAACAAAAATTTCATGATGCATTGCCATCCGAACTATGTACACCTGCCAAATTTCAAATCAATCGGTCTGTTGAAAGTGGGTCAAAATTGAGTCCAAAGAGTAGGTCATATACATATACCTACAGGTGAAACTAATAAAAGAGTGTTAAGAAAGAGAATACTTGAAATGTTAACGCTCTCTGTGATCGGTGACGCTTAGCGTTTGCAAAAACATGTTAATCGGAAGAGCCTAATTGCACCTGAAATCTCGTTATTCAATTTTGAAACACCCAGTAATTATTGTACATTGGGAAGAAAAAAAAAAGTAAAAAATACATATATTTCTATTCGAACAAAAATGAGAAGACATGAGATATGAATATTTCAACTCGATCTCGACTGACCACAGACAGTATCCCCATCATCAAATTGTAATCAAGTACAGATACTGAATCCACTTTAGATCTTCTAATTTTTCAGACATGAAGTCATGCAAAAACCTTGTACTGATAATACTGGGCTTTTACCTCCAAGTATCAGCACAACTTCCCTCGTGCGAGTTTATAAGCGGCAGTTCGACCTATAATTGCGAGAATATCAGAGAAACATTTCCCAAAATATATTATGGAAACTACAACCTCCAATGCAAAGACTGCGAAATCAAAATATTTTCTCAAAGTACGTTCCCTCATGAAAACAGTCTGTTATCCATGAACCTATCAAACAGTGGAATACAAATGATAGCCTCAGAAGCTTTCAAGAATCTGAGAAATATCCGATATTTATACCTGAATAACAATAAAATAACAAACATTTCCGCCAACGCCTTCGAAGGCCTGAGACAAGTCGATGACGTGGAAGTGGAACATAACCTCATAGTGGACTTGGTGCCAGGATTTTTGAACGACATACAACTGAACACCCTGTCTCTGGCCTTCAATGAAATTTCCGAGATACCGGACAATGCCTTCAAGGGAAGTTTGGCCCTACTCAACTTGAATCTTCAACACAATGGGATCAAGAAAATCCACTACGATGCTTTTGCTGGTCTCGATTCTCTGGAAGATCTGGACTTGCAGCACAACCTATTATGTCATCTGTCTGTGGGAGCCTTCAAAGAGCTGAGAGCTTTGAGAATGTTGAACCTGGCCAACAATAAGCTGACGAAATTCAATATGGGGACGTTCTCAGGACTCAGGGATTTGAGCTCATTGATTTTAGCGAATAATTTTATACAGGTAGGTCGTTGAGGGTAAGGTGAGAAACAAATATTGACATTGAGAAAATTAAAAGAAGTGATTTGCAATTCAATTTCGATAGGTAGGGAAAATTAAGTCACTGGTTAAAAATATGTATGTCAAAATGTTTTGAGAAATATTGTCCCCATGATGCATGCCTTTGTATATTTTATTCGAAAAGTATGACAACATTGTCCCAGTTGACAATTCACTCTTTAGGAGTATATCCTGATGATAGCTATTTTATTGAAATCGTTGTGTTGGTAAATGGATTTGATGTCGCCAGAGCAAGTAGCAAATATTAGTCAAAAATCTGTCAAACTTATTCTACGTATAGGTGATAATAACTTGAGGACCACCCAGTATACATACTGACGGTCAAAAAAAACCCAAGCTATAGAGCCTCGCTATCAATTATCCGATTTTGAAAAACAAATAAGCAATCGAAATGACCCATCAGATACTATATATGAGTAGGCTTTGATCATTATTTTTTTCAAATTTCAACTGTAATGATAGCGATTGTCATTTAGGTCATTCGTTTTTTCCGGAAAGGACATAAACTCTGTTTTTTCAATAGAACACCCTGTATATTTTCCAACATGTCGATAGAGCCTTTTTTTCTGATATCGAAAATATACATGAGTTGCATCAAAGATTATCAAAATACCGTTTTATGAAACTTCACTTATATATTATTTAGGCTCTTTGGAAATGTCATGATATTGTTTATTATAAAATTGAAATCTTTCAATCTCAATTCAAAAAAATATGAATGGAAGATGCGGTATTTTGGTAAACTTCGATCAGCAATAACTCAATTCCTTTTTATTCGAATATACAATTCATGAATATTCTTGAAATCAGAAAAAAAAGCTCTATTGACATGTCAGAAAATATATAGAGTGTTCCATTGTAAAAATCAAAGTTAATGTCCTTTTCGCAAGAACGAATGACCCTGTATATAATAATAATAATAATAATAATAAATCGGCTTTATTAACGGAGTGGATACAAATTCTTAGTGTGCAACACTAATTTTGGCGAAGTCTAGCTGATAGCTACTCATACTCAACCAAATTAGGTCACAGGATATAGTTAATATACATATATACACATGTTACAATACAATGAGAAATCGTGAAACAAAACAAAAAAAATCAATCTGAATTGCAGAAATACTTCTTAAGCTGAGCTGTTCCTCCAGGGGCGTGGGTGAATATGTGTTCATTGATTAGTAAAAAGAAACTGTTTGTATTTGTATTTGAATTTATTTATATTTAGAAGTTTAAACTCTTCAGGTAAAAGGTTATAAAGATGAATTGAATTGAATACAAATGATCTCTGAAACATGGAAGTGCGATGATGAGGCATAGTTAATTTGCTAATTTTTCTGATGTTCCTTGAGTGTACTCTGATACGTGGAATTAACTTGCTTTTCAAGGGGGATGATTGTGGCATATTCATCAGTTTCAAAACAAAGGTAGCTAGGTGATGATTTCTTCGATTAGTCATATTCAACCATTTGGTTTCCTTGAATTTTCGAGAAATAGATTCATATTTCCTGATGCCATAGATCAAACGACAACATGAGTTTTGGACATTTTGTATACGATTTTTATCGAATGAAAGTAGACATGGGCCGTATATAAAATCACAATAATTGAAGTGACTTAATACCAGTGAATCACATAACATTTTCTTCAATTTTACACTCATGATATGACGGTTACAGTATAAAAATTTCAGTGATAAATAAGCTTTCTTCATCAAATTCTTGACATGTTCTGAGAATCTGAGCTCTGCATCGAGCTGGATGCCTTTAAATTTCTCGTTGACTCTACAATGTTCAAAATATGACCCTCTATATTAACATGCAAGTTTTCACTGATCGTATTTCTTTTGGCATGTGTGCCAAAAGACATCAGAGTTGTTTTCTCAGAATTGAGTTGTAGATCATGTTTTTTCGACAGATTCTTGATTGTTTCAAGATCCCGATTAATGAGAATTTGCACATTCATATAATCATCGATATCGAAGTGCGTATAAAGTTGTATATCATCGGCATAGGCTTGTACTTTGCAAAACTCAACAGAAGTAAGTATATCAGCAGTATAGATGATGAAGATGAGCGGTCCAAGAATAGATCCTTGGGGAACCCCTGAGAAGATATCCAAGGATGAAGAATACTCATTATTTATAGAAACTCGTTGTGACCTGCCTAACAAATAAGACCATATAAGAAATGCCGCATCATCATCAAAACCATAATAGCGCAGTTTAGCACAAATTAGTTCATGATTTATGGTATCGAAGGCTTTCGAAAAATCTAATATATAAGGCAACTCCTTGGAATAAGTGTTTTTGTCTTTTCAACCAACTTTTTTATTTGACATTTTCTCACATCTCTAAAAACAGAAGAGTTAAGGGGGGGTTCCATTTTAAGAAGCGCACCCTGTACATTCAAATACAATCAATATTAATCCAAAATTCAATTCACAGACATTCGAAGGAACCGAACTGTTGCCGATCCTCCATCTGGTCAATCTAGACCTCAGCGGCAACTCCATTTATTACTTGGAATCGAACGTCATCTACTCCAGCGCTCCATCCATGAGATTCCTGAACATCGAGAACAACTTGTTGTCGTGCCCTCTTTTGATCAACATCGTACAATATTTCAAGAGCAAGAGGGTTGAAATGGAGGTGGCCAAAGGGACATTCCACGTGCAAAACATCAATGGGATCGTCTGTGTAGATGACCCTGTACTGGAAGCCATTCCGAAAGAGAAGTTCTTCAAGATGGCGAGAGAACAGACGGAAAGAACTGTGACTTATTGTTGAATAAAAGTTTGTTTTTGTGAACCAATCAGAATCGCTCATTTTCGAGGTATCTTCTGTATTACAGAAACCGAATTGACAGAACATGTGACCAACTAACCTCACATTTCATCGTCATTTTCCTAGACAGTTATCAACTGGCCAAATTGTCAAATTCAATGCTTTGTGAATAAAATCGGTAGATACAACTGTCGAAGTTACTGTATTTCTGTATAAGATCAAAAACACAAAAACACTTCGTCAAATTAAACTAAATTTGAATTATTGGCTGCCAACAAATAGCAAATGCCTTAATAGACTACCTAAGTGAAATATAGTTAGTTAATTGGGTATTTAGTTTTGATGACACGGATTCTGTAATTTATTGTATCATTCAATAGATAGATAGATTTATTGTATTGAAAGAATTACAATTCTTATCACAAGGGTTGGGTAATCTGTGATTAATGAATACATGAGAACTAATAGCTAAAACGAAAACGAAAATCCTTCCTGCGGGACCTAGATAGGCATTGAAACAATAATTGATATGCAAATTACTCATTCACAGCAAAAAATCTAAGCTTCAACAACTTGATCATAACCTGTACTAGGAGTTTCAAGTCAGCTAGGCCACCATAATTCAGAAGATATATTAAATCATCTAGAGATTCAACGTCTTGATACCAGCATAAACTGGACATTCAAAGAGAATGTGTTCCAAAGATTCCGGTCTGTGGAGATTGCAAACAGTGCATTCTTCTTCAGTATTTATTCTAAACACTATTCGATTGAAGGTAATTCTAAAGAACGTCTTACTGCATGTCCTTAGTTGAGCGATAATTCTAGTTATATGGATGGGAACGGGCGCTTTGAGGTAATTTTGAACATTTACCCGCAGAGAGTGACTTTTATAAATGAGAGGATACGAAGATTGGATCAAACTATCTAAATCTATGCTTTGAAGTTCATTGTTGAATATGTGCAGAAGAGAAGTTATAGCTTTCTTGGAACTATTGAGCAGAAACTGTTGCCAACGATCGACCATTCCGGCAAAAGAGAAGTATTGTTTGACCTGCAATACCCAGTTGTATTTGGGATCAACGTTATCGAGTCTGAGTAGTCTTAAAAAACAGAGCTTTGGTAGTCGATGGTTGTCCATTGAGTTGAGAAGTGCAAAATGTGACAGAGCAGCAGTGAAAATCAGATGAGAAAGTTTTATTGAGGAAGTTTCCAGACGAACAACATAGTCTGGAGTATTTTTAGGGACTTGTGACTTTTACTACTTTTCCTGGAAATATTCGTCAAGAACAACTTCTTGTCGTGCCCTCTTTTGATAAACATCATCCAATATTTCAAGAGCAGGAGGGTTAAAATGGAGGTGACCAAAGGGACATTCCACGTCCAAAACATCAATGGGATTGTTTGTGTAGATAACGCTGTACTGGAAGCCATTCCGAAAGAGATGTTTTTCAAGATGGCGAGAGAACAGACGGAAAGAACTGTGACTTATTGTTGAATAAAAGTCTTTGTTTCCGAGAATCAATCAGAATCTCTCATTTTCAAGGTATCGCCTGTATCACAGAAACCGAATTGACAGAACATGTGACCAACTAACCTCACATTTCATCGTCATTTTTCTAGACAGTTATCAACTGGCCAAATTGTCAAATTCAATGCTTTGTGAATAAAATCGGTAGATACAACTGTCGAAGTTACTGTATTTCTGTATAAGATCAAAAACACAAAAACACTTCGTCAAATTGAACTAAATTTAAGTTATTGGCTGCCAACAAATAGCAAATGCCTTAATAGACTACCTAAGTGAAATTTAGTTAGTTAATTGGGTATTTAGTTTTGATGACACGGATTCTGTAATTTATTGTATCATTCAATAGATAGATAGATTTATTGTATTGAAAGAATTACAATTCTTATTACAAGGGTTGGGTAATCTGTGATTAATGAATACATGAGAACTAATAGCTAAAACGAAAACGAAAATCCTTCCTGCGGGACCTTGATAGGCATTGAAACAATAATTGATATGCAAATTACTCATTCACAGCAAAAAATCTAAGCTTCAACAACTTGATCATAACCTGTACTAGGAGTTTCAAGTCAGCTAGGCCACCATAATTCAGAAGATATATTAAATCATCTAGAGATTCAACGTCTTGATACCAGCATAA